GGGCCCCCAGGCCGCGGGCACCACCGCCGCCACCACCACCCTCACCCCGATTATGGTGCCTCAGCGGCGGCCGGGAGCTGCATGGGGGAGCGCAGGCCGCTCTTGGGAAGATGCCCCGGAGCTGCCCCTGCCGGAGGGCTGGGAGGAGGCGCGCGACTTCGACGGCAAGGTCTACTACATAGACCACACGAGCCGCACCACCAGCTGGATCGACCCGCGGGACAGGTAGGACCCGGGGGGCCCACACCCCCACCCGGGCCGTCTGTGCCCTGGGGGCCACCAGCCGGGACTACTGGCCGGAGGGCGGGGTGGCTCCGCCAACCTCTTGAGCTTTCTTTGCCCGCGCCCCCCATTGCCCTTCTGGAGCGCCGCTCCGGCCCCCGTGAGCTGCTGGGAGGAGGGGACAGCAGTGAGTTGGCCCAGGCTGCCCCACCGCCATCCCTAGATGGAGGACTTAGGCCCCAGTCCGCACCTGCCCGGAGTTTTGACCTCAAGCTCTAGCCCCGCCCCCGCCCCTTTAGGAGAAGAAGGCGGGCGGGGGCGGGGGAGCGACCCAGCTGAGTGATGCTGGGGCTCCCCGGGGAGGCTTTCCCCAGCGCGGGGCCTGGGAAGCATCTGGTTGGGGGGTGGGGGGAGGGCCTCGGGGTTCGGTGGGAGTCTGCTGGAGGAAGGACAGACGCGCGCACGGAAGGCTGGCTGGAGTGGGGGTTTTGACAGGTGCCTCTGAGGTTCCGAAAAGAGCACGGAGCCTCCGGTGGCCTGGAGGCCGGGAGTGGGAAGGGAAGGGAAGGAAGGAAGGAGCAGGGGAGGGCTGCTGGGGAGACTGGTTCTCCAGGAATCCACAGCAACTTGGGAGCTGTTGGCATGTAGATGGGGGCGAGAGGCCTCCGGCAAAGCCCTGCCCATCGCTCTTCCTCCTCCCTTTCTTCCTCTGGGGACCGGGCTCCTCGGCCCTGCACCTGCGCGTCCTGACCTTGGTGGCCACCACGCCGGCTGTAGTACAGGATTTTTTAAAAATTTTATTTATTTTTTTGCTGAGGCAGGTGGAGTCCGAGATGCCTGGTGTGGCCTTTAGCTTCCAGACTTTCTCCCAGTTTCCACTGTTCGGCATTTCTTTTCTTTTAAATATGTTTTTATTGATTTCAGAGAGGAAGGGAGAGGGAGAGAGAGATAGAAGCATCAGTGATGAGAGAGAATCATTGATCGGCTGCCTCCTGCACACCTCACACTGGGGATTGAGCCTGCAACCCCCTGACCGTAATCGAAGGGAATCGTGACCTCCTGGTTCATAGGTCAACACTCAACTACTGGGCCACGCAGGCTGGGCTGTTTGGCATTTCTTTGCACACAAGCACCCCCTTCCCATGTATGTGGTGGGGGGAGGGGAGGACCACCTTCTGGGACAGCTTTGTTATCCTTTGCTGACTCAGTCCTTAGTCAGAGTGTCTTAGGAATGTGGAATTTTCACCTGGTCGCCGGCTGTGACCTTGGGCATCAGGTGCCTCTACAGCAATGCAGGTAAATGTTTTGGACCCTTCACCTTGCTGGGTTATGATGTATGTCCCAGGAGGCTCGGATGGGTGTGTAGCAAGGTGAGGGTGAACAGAAAGAAAAAGTGTTAAGGAGGTGTGAGTTCAGATTCTCAGGGTTCCTGTGAGCAAGTAAGTTCATTCATTCAGCACTTACTGGGTTGCTCTATGCTCAGTGCCATGCTGAAGGTCTCATTTACCGTAATCTGTAAGAGAGAATTTTAATGCTAGAGAGCATTCCTTGGGCAAGCTGCTTTAACCTCGGGGCCTCAGTTTCCCTATTTGTCAGACGAATGGTTTGCTGGGAAGGGAAGCAGTAATAGTGGAACTCTTAAAAGTTGGAAAGGATATAGAAGATCAGAGTCCCACTCCCATTTTCAAACATAGGAGAAAATTTGAGGCCCAGGGGTGTGAGGAGCTTGTTTTGATGTTTCTAATACTCTGTATGCCAAGTTCTTTTTAATTTTTATTGATTTCAGAGAGGAAAGGAGAGCGATATAGAAACATCAATGATGAGAGAGAATCATTGATTGGCTGCCTTCTGCACGCACCACAGTGGACAAGCCCACAACTCGGGCATGTGCCCTGACTTCGAATCGAACCGTGACCTCCCGGTTCATAGGTCAACCCGCAACCACTGAGCCACGCTGGCTGGGCATCATATGCCAAGTTCTTTACCGGCTCAGAACTTTTAACCTCCAAACATGTTCAGGCTCACTTTCCTTCCCCAGCCCCCTCGGGGCAGCCCCTTGTACTGCTCCCAGAAGAGGCACAAGTTCGAGCTCTGTGTCCTCCCCCAGTTTGGGTCCTGGCAGGTGTGCTGTTAGCAGTTGGATGACAGAGGTGAACACCCCACACCTGGTGCTGCTCACTCACTCACTCTGGGTCACCCGTCTACAGACTGTTCGGGGTTTCGGAGAGGATAGTGCAGCTGTAGGAAGCTTCTCGAACACCAGTCATTCTTTACCCTTGGAAGAGGGCAAGCAGTATTGCTTCCGAGAACACCTGACTTGGCTAGAGCATAATTTCCCAGATTTTAGTACTATGTGGACCACCTTCATGATATTTTGCTATGTGCATCTGTGCTATTGCTTACTTCATACTTGACTTTAAAGGAACTCAATTTGAAAAAATTTTTAAGCCACTTTCACAGTGGGAAACTAGGAATATCTATTGCCGTAAATAGAAGGGATCCTTTAAAATACAGTGGAGGAATAAAACCCCACTGCCATTATATTCTAGCTCGTACTGTGGCCTGCCCATGGCCCCAGCCACAGGCCCGCGCAGCCTTTGTTTTTAGGCAGATTGGCAAGCAATGGAGAGGAATTAAAAACATACTGTTGCTGAATGGAACCCCTGGCTTCTTCACTGTGCAAGTCATTGGTTTTGTGCCTCCTGGTCATGCACCTGCACTTGCACTGGGCTGGTGTGGGGCCCCTGAGCTTGGGGTGCGGAGGAGATCCGAGTGTCACCTTGGGGTCTCTGATGAATCTAACTTTGGAAGTTTGGGGAAAGAGCTGAGCAGAGGGCATCAATTCCGGGCTCTCCGGAATTTCCTTCCTGCACCCCGGGAAGGGATTTCTGTCTGCTGGTCCTGCCTGCGTGGCCTCAGGCCGATCGCTTGAGCTCTCAGGTGCAGGTGCTTCATCAGTGAGAGAACAGGGTTGATGAGGTGGTCTGGAGGACCCTGCCTGCCCTCAGGCTTCTCCTTACCCCTCCTGCCTCCAAGACAGAATTTGGGGGTGCGGGTAGGTGGGAGGGTAAGGGGGCTGTGAAGAGGAGGAAAAATTTAAAAAGCTAGAAAGAGCCAGACTTCTTTGGGGTGGGGGGTGGGGGTGGAGTAGAGGAGATAAATCCTGCCAAGGTGCTTACATCTCTGCAGCTGGTTAATGCTGGGAAACAAAATAAATCACACACAGGATGCTTACGTGCGGCTGTTTGCGTCCGTCTGGGCTTTTTCCTTACCTGAATCAAGGAGATGCCTGCCCGTTCCCCTGAATTTAAAAGAAGCCAGTCCAATGGGCCTTCAGTCAGAAAAGGGATTTCTTAGCCACCAAGAACAAAATAGCGTCTCGGGTTACCAACCCCGAAGAATGCCCTGGCACATTCCTCCCCGTGGGGCTGAGCTGTTTTGTGTGCTGTCCGGCCTGGAGGCTGCTGGGGGTAGGGAATCCAGTGTTCAGCGTTCCCTTTCACCAGGGGGTTGGAAGAGCAGCCAGGCAGCTGGCCCTGCCAACTCTGTCCCCTTCTCACCCAGGGGAAGGCTGGGAGGCCGGAATTCCTGAGGACGGTTGTCCCAACAACCGGAGAGGGTCCAGTGGGCAGTTCGGGCCCTGCCTACTGGGCCAAGGGCTCTTCCTGAGGCCCGGCCGCTGGGAAGGTGATCGGTCCCCCCCGGGGAGTGGGGTGCAGCCCCATGGAGTGGTCTTCCTTTAGCAGAGTAATAGCTCCAGGTGCTTCTGGGAGCTCCCAGCCCAGGGCCAGCGTGGCGAGGGCATTTGACCCAGGGGTATGCCAAAACAAATACGCTGATTGTTCTCGGGGGAGGAATGGCCCTGCCGGAGAAGGTTCCTGAAGTCGGATTCCTGCCCATTCTGTGGTTTGTGGTCAGACCTCCTTCCAGGAGCCACCTGCAAACTCCCGGCACAGTTTTGGGGGCTGTGTGATAAGTACCCAAGGCCCACATGGCCGAGGGGCTACGTGGAGAGGACTCAGCGACTTCCCTCATGACCTGAGGAAGAACTTGAGCTAACCCTGCCGTCTCAGAAATCATTGACGTTGTAGGAAGTTGGGCCTAGCAGTCACAGACCTTAACCTCCGCTGGTCACAGACCCTTGTGAGAAGCTGACAGAGGTTAAGGATGCTTCTTGAAGACAAGTGTGAACATGGTTTGGGGCACATAATTTCAGGGGGCTCGTGGACCCCAGGTTCATAAATTCCTGCCGTAGATTAGCTTAGAAACCGCTCATCACTAACTGTGCCCCCTCCTGTGTAGGTAGGAAGTAATGATTACTTACTGCATCCAGGCCGTCTGCTGAGAGCTTTCCATGGGATTTCTTTTAATCCTCCTACCAACCCTGGGAATAGGTAGTTATCTGCCTGAGGAACCTGAGGCCGGGTGGGGGGTTAGGGGAGGGGGCAGCTCTGAGTTGGGTGAAGCCACTCAGCTTTTGTGAAATGAAGGCACACTGACTTACGAACCCTCATTTCTAAGCCCTGCACCGCTCAGCTGCCTGCTGAATCCAGACTTCTACTCCATTGCCTAAGGAATTTGGCTTTGGGGAATGGACCTGGGACAGGCATGATTTCACTTCCCTGCAACCATTCTGGTGTGGCCAGACCGCAGTTCACCAGAGAGCAAGTGTGGATAATGGGGAAGAGGGTGAGCCTTTTGAGTCCTGGCATCTTGGGTCTGCTACGTGCTACCTGAGTGAGCCTGGCAAGTTACACACGCTCTGAGCCTTGGTTTCGTCTTGTGTAGGATGGGGAGATGCATAAGCAAGCTGGCAAGGGCGGTTCTGAGCATTAAATAAGCTAAGTCGGTCGGGCAGCCAGCACAGAGCCTGACACGCAGGAGGCACTTGGGGATGCCAGCTCTTTCAGCTTTTACTAGAAGTACCTGCAAAACACTTAAGCGGAGACGGAGTCTCACCAAGCTCTGTGGCAGTTGGCAGACAGGTTGGGCCTTTCTGGTCA